CCAGCTACATGAATTCGTCTTGACTTCATACGGCTTCAATTTTATCAACAATAATATTTTATCAGGTTCATTATATTAACTCTACAGAAATACCTGATAGGCCCTCCACCCTCTCTAACAGGTAATAAAGAAAGAAATTGTCGAACTGAACCGCGTAGAAAAATGGTACATCAACTGTGCAAAACTTGCAAACCTACCTTCGAGCAACTGAATCAACTCTTGCAAACTTAGACTTATCACAAATTTTCCGTCTTCAATTCGTAATTAAACGATCATAGGACACTTCCGATAATAAGCCATGATTCCATTTATCCTCTTCACCACATAGCAACGAAAGAAACCAGAAAACCTCTAGCGTACACCTCACTGTAATCTAAAATGTTGCCACTATAACTTGGTACTTTTAAATATCGTACCAATACTTCGGTAAGCGCTACTTTATCAAGTTACATCAAGCAGCAAGGAAGAAGAAAGTTACAACTCTTTATCGTCGGACGAAATAACATTGGCTAAAACTCAACCTCCTGTACTTTAAACTCATTCTTCAAGAGTTTTATTCAGAAGCCGCTATATTGTTTGTTAAAAACAGTACAACTTATATATAGGTGTAAGAAAAGAAACCCAACTACAATAAAGCCAGAACGTCACAAGTGCTGCTATGAGAAAAAACATTCAAGCGTGGAAGCCAAGCAAAGAAAAGACATAATTTCTGAACACCATATAAAGTTCCCTCTTTACAACGATACAAGAAGTGCAGAAGCTAAAGTCTTTACTGAGCACTGCAGCTACCGAAATAATTTGAGTTGTAATAACGGTAGATGTAGGCAAGATCACAATACTCTTACACAGATTAATGATTCGTATATAAAAAAAACAAGTGTTTTTACCGGGAACAAAGCAAAAAAAACTTGAAACCTGAAGCATAGTTAGAATTACGACAATTAACCGAACCACGCTACACATAATAATCGCCGCTATAATTGGTGAACTGGGGAACAAAAAGCAAGAGGAAGGAGAATAACTAGATTCAAAGTAATTTGGTCATAAACCACTGGCTGCAATTTCAACTACAATTAACGAGTAACTAAATAAAAGAAAGATAAAAAATTGGTGTGGACCCACATCAGACTCACGCTATCATTAGGTGATCTTTCAAGGCTATCAGCAGCTTCCATACTGTCAAACAACGCTGTACTTACATCGTGAAAAACGGTAAACGCGCAATATTCATTACATCTGGTGATAGTAATCTCTCAACTGAAAACTATGATGGTGCCGCATGCCCAAATGTACTACTAAAAAGCCTTCTTAAATTACTTCCTTCATCAGTACCACAGCTCCACAAAGTTTAGACCAACTTTTCTTTACATTTTGACAAGCCCTCTGAAAGAAAATGTATTTTTTCAAAAAGTTAACAACATATTATGTCCAATAATTTGAGCAGCTAACAAATAAAAGGTGTTTTAAACAGCTGAAAAAATCAATAGCTTTTCTGACAAAACATTACAATCTCCCAAATTTTATTTTGTACTTTCGAAAAACTGCACAGCCAGCAAGTTAAAGAAATGGCATAGTTAAGTCAGTGAGAGATGGTATAGCATATTGTAATGCCTAAAACCAACCTTCCCGTCAACCAACCCTCTAATACCGCATCAAGATTCAACCAGTTTTAACCTACTTTTAGTGATTGTAAGTGATATTCTAATCAATCTAAACAGCTTTTAAAAGCTTGTAAGATTCAATCTTGCAATTCCCAAAGAAATCAATTTTTTTGTCTGGAGTTCTTTTCTCTTACGCAAAAGAATTCAAAACAAAAGATCTACTTTCACAAATTTTTTCCATTTAACCAAATTCAGTAAGTTTGTGAGCTGTATACGTTGAAGCAAAGATAAATTTTGCAACTGGAAAACTTTACTATACACATTTTACTAAGCGGACAACTTGTTTAATGTTTAACCAGAGTGTATCAAAAACAATTAAAGTGTTACAAAAGATTTTTCAAATGTACATACGTCGTGCAGCAAAATGTTACGCCACAATTAATATAAAAGAGAAGCTCCGCCAACCGAGGACGCATAATTCTCTAATTCCGTCAACAATATCAGCACTGGCCGGTAAATAGCATATTTTTTTATCATTAAAGTTCCTGCTTAACTTGCTCATAACTCCAACTGCCAAAACTATGCATATTTTGATTTCTTCATTTGCTCTTCGAGGCTTAAAGTTCTAATGATAAAACTCCCATGTATTCAAATGTAAAAAGTAGTGTTACATGGTAACAGAAATTAAAAATACCTGTAACTCTTTAGCCTACAATCAATAATAGATCCAAAGCATCATCAAATCTCAAGTCCAGACTTTAAAAATGCAGTAAATAACCGGCAACAAACTGTAATGGGAACTGCAGCAGGACCGTAAATTAATAGGAAAATTGTGAAATCACCAAACGACATACCACTATCCATAACATAGCATAGGATAAAAAATGTAGCGTCCCAAAAGCTTCTAGGCAATTTACAGCTAAAAAAAAAGAGGAGCTGACACTCAAAAAAGTGTATATCTTCAGTAAACTAAAGTCAGAATAAAATTACCGTTATATTCGAGGTAAATGTAAAAAAGTTTATTCCTAAATTCCAGATCTAACCCCATTAGATGCTCCCTAAGTGGTTTTGCAGTTCAGTATTATCTGTAATGACGCCTCCCATCTCTTCTGAAGACTTCTTTGATCAAGAGGTTTTCTGTGTATTGTTCCTAACCTAGCTATAATACCAAATTATATTTCCATTCAACATCTGAAATCACTGTTCATATTATTTCCATTCAGAATCTTATAGATTTTGGATCCCAATTTATAGGTTTTAATGGCTTTTCACAAAACGGACTTCTGTCGTTCTTCATTCAAAATCCCGTGCAACTTCTGAAATTCAAAACGACATTGAAAAGCATATCCAAATACCCAAAAATGTAAAAAAAACAAACACTTCTTCCATAATCCATTCAGAAGCAGGTCTTAAATATTCAGTCGCCAACTCACAAAGACGAATCGCCCAGTCATAGCAAGTGCTTTAAAGCCTGGAAAGTAGGTGAAAAATAACTGGAATTTTCACAGGTGGAACGAGGATGAAACTAGCATGCCAAAAAAAGTTATTTTTAAAGAGCATTAAATGGAGTAGCAATACTCACTAACTTTTGAAAAAACACACCTACGCACAGTTTTTCAATGCGCTTAGATGCGCATCTGAAAGTTTTTATATATCAACAAGATGTTTGGTAAAGCAATCCTACCTAATTTTTTTCTCTGAAATCTGCTTCTAAAACTGCTCTCAAAATAATAGCTGAAAAAATTGCTTATTTTAGTTGAGCAATAATTAACAATA